TTAGTCCTATCAATGATCTTCTTTTTTTATTTTTTTCCACTTCTTGTTTATTTGAAGTTTATATACATATTTTGTTTTATTTTTTCTATAACTACAGAATTTCCGTCTTTTAGCAGCATTATCATACTATATTTAACTACCGTATTTACATATATCTGTTTGTTTGCACAAACGTATTCGAAATTCATAAGAACGTATACTTTTCCGTTAGGTCCGTGCAAATCGGTAATTATTTAATGTAAATCAAAGTTTTAAAGCATCAACAAATCAAAAAGCGCATAAATCCAAATGCTAAATTCTCTTTTATGTTTTTTTTTAAATGTTTATTTATTTCTTTTTTAAATTTTTATTCGAAACTGCAAATATTTGTGACAAACGTGATTGACTTTCACGCTTTGATGTGCGCGTATTTATTTTGTTTCATTAAATATATATATTTTATTTTTGTCATTTTCACATGCATTTTTTCAGATGAATATGAACAATTTAATTAAAGTTCGGATGTTGATAATACTACCATAGAATATACATATTATTTTCAATTGATTTTATATATATAATTACTAGTAATTCCATTAAACTTGTACAATGGAATGCCGAATGATGAATTTGATTGGCAATTACAATTTCAAAGAATATATGTTTTTACGTCGTTATATTTTACATTTCAATTTTCATTTTTATATATGGGCATATACCTTTAATTTGAACTATTTATTTATTTTTTTGACTTATTTTGATATTTAACAAATTGATGGTACTAATGTTGAGTTGTTTTGTTGTTGATGTTGTTGTTGTTGTTGTTTTTTTTCTCTCAATCTTACTCGTAAACCTTTTCGTGTTCCGTAGATCTCTAAGTGAGTTATACGTTTCGGGGCCAAGTGCGTTATGGGATCGATAGCGCTCGCCTCCAGATTCCCTAACATCTTAGGAAAGGAATTGGGTATAAAAAGTACATGTGTTTTGCGGTAGTCGAACAGCTTGCGATAGCTAGGAAAAAAATCTGGGAGAGATGGAACGAAGGAAGTCGGAAACAAGAACAAAAAATACACACTCACATATAGGGTAGATACCATTCAAGTTACGAGACATTAATAAAAATTATAACTTTTTATTTGATAGCTTCCTCTCCACTTTGCTGTTATTTTTCTATTTATTTTACGTCCGTGCTTCACCGGAAACATCAACTTTACATTTGTTTTACGACAGATTTCTTATATCAACTCTTTGTCAATTCTGGAATATTCTTTAACTCGAATAAAGAAAACTTGTTGAATGATTCTTTTAATTAATAACAATTTTATTTTCAATTTTATAACTTTATGTTTTGAGTTTCGTGATTTATTTCAAAAATTTTCTATTAAAATTTGTCAAATCCGTTAATTTTCACTCAAATAAGGAAAACTTGTTGATTTTTTTAGTCAAAATTAACGAAAGTATTTCATAACTATATGTTTTCTGAAAGGTAAAGATTTGGTTAATTTTGACTAAGGAAAACTTGTTGAATAATTTAATTATATTTACTTCTTGATTTTAAAAACATTTGTTTTTCTATATTTTCATGATTGAATGAATAAAAACATTTTAATAAAAGTATTTATAAAAACAAATATATATACACAATCCTATTATAAAACATTAAATATTTAACAGCTTTTATTCCATTTTTCATTTATAAATTTTACATTCGCTTCATTCGATTTTGATAATATTTATTAAACTTTATTCGATTATATAAACTTGTTGATTAGGAGTACTTTTAGTGTATAGGATATCCACTCTATCAGTATTAGCTTTGAAGTCCAAGTGTCAGGAACGTTTGGCAAATAGATCGGATGATCACTTGATACCTGATACTTTTTGAAAGCCGGACACCTCACAGTATTGATTCAGTTGTCTATCTCAACATCATACTCCTTAGAAAATTTAACCTATACTAACTATAGTTTAATCTACAATAATTTACATATTATCTTTCAAATTAAAAAAAATAATATCAACTTATAAAATATTGTCCTTTTGTAATTTTGTTCCAAAATGCTTGTCAATTAACCTTTTAAAGGATCAGAATCAACATCGGTTGGTATGGATTCAATAAACTTCTTCTATTTCCCTATCAAATTCATCCTTTTTGCCCAAATTTTGTAGAAAATTATAATAATGTCTCACTATGCATTTTCAAAAGATGTTTGTCCCAGAGTTAATTTATAAAAAAATAGGATAAGTTTTTAAACATATATATTTTTTGGTTGGTTTGTTTTGGGTGATGGGAAGGCAACACTTGGTTCAAAAAAAATAATAAATAAATGTCCAGAGCCGCTAGTAAATATTTGTTCGGTAATGTAATTAATTCCGGTCTTGTATATGAAGTGGCATTTTGTGCATATTTAGAATAGAAGTGAAATTGCACGATCCCAGTGCAGGTGGAGGTTGTGGGACGATAGGAAGGGAAGCGAAGGGAAGAAGAGCCGTTGTAGCTTGTAGCTGTGGATGCAGACATAATGTACAGGGGGTGGTCGCGCCGGAGGATGGGCGCCCCTGAAAAGAGAGCAAGATGCAAGGGCGAGGGATGTGTTATACATACACCGGGTGTTTATAATGTGGTTTCCCGATTGCGGATGTGGCCCAACTCATACTTCCCTTACTCACCGTTTTAATTAGTTATTCTACATGCATATAATCTATAAATTACCCAGCCGAAGAAAACTCATTTTGACTTTAACCGGCGTAAAATAAAACGTTAAATTACGGGCGCCGCCTTCAACTCTTTCTTATTAAACATCATCCCCTATCCACACTTTCAAATAATAATAAATTAAATACAGTTCGGCCGGAAACTTTTACATTTATATTAAATGTCCGGACTAATTTCATCTTCAGGTTTAACATCGTCATCCCCGTTCTCTTTCTACCATTTTTGACAACCCTGAACGATTTCCCTTCTTTTTTTTCTCAATCTACACGAACTATGAATCTCAGCAAATTACACATCATGTAAAGATTTACCAAAATTGTGTAATTTATCAACTTTTAATCCTTCGAAGGGCCAGAAATTCTTAAATTTGAAAAAAAATATATTTTATTCCATTTTATTTTTAATTATCCTTAGATATATATTCAGAAAAAATAATATTTAATTTTTATGTTGAGAAAAAATTTAATAAAAAAATAATTGTATATCGAATTTTTTGTACAAAATGGCTTTGATTGATATAAAATTATATTTGTTATAATGATTCAAATGACTTGTTTTAAAAAATTATCCTTCGCTTCGAATTTATAAATATTTTATATAAATTTTAATTTCAATTTTGTACATGATAATATAATTCGATATATTGTCTCTGTCTGTACACCTCTGTACACCTCAAAGCGACTCATTAGTATTTATTCCATGCAAGTATCAACCGATTGGAATCCAATACTAGTGTGGCTACATTCGAAATGCCAGTACAACATTGTAAACACACAACACATACAATAAGTTCATTTGATGTGAGTCCACTCACGTTACTGAAATCTGTATCAATTTGATTATATTTTATATTCAATAGATTTTGTTTCCTAATAATACAAAAAATATGAAATAATGAAACATATAAATATGAAAAACTGTTGTAGTGGAAATTATAATATTTCCTTGAAGACGGAAAAATAGATGAGTATAAAAAAAGTTGCTGTTTTTCAAAGTGAACTGAATTTCAGACTGGTGCAGCTTCAAAGATGTAAGGGTATTGACTTTACGTAAGGACACAATGTCATACATAATGAAGTGTTACGATGATTCCACGAATCGTTGCGTTGCGTAATGTATTTGAAAGTAAGAGTAAAGTTGTGTAGGGGTGTGAAACATCGAACAAAAATCGGGCGTCGGCGATTGTACGGTATTTATGTAAACGCGTAGGTTACAGAACGTAATGACTAAGTTTTATGAGGAATAAATTCATGGCAAAGTAGTTGCTCCTTATAAAGGAAAGTTCTGGGCCGTCGGAATAATGGGGACGAAAGAAAAAGAAAGTCCTTTATTTTTTTTTACTCTAACTGTAACGCGGCCGTCCACCCCCGCAAACGCCTTCCACCGTTTCCAACCTGAAACAGCCCCCATCCCTCTGAACCATTCCGTTTAGTCCGGGATTATTAAACGGTTTGCCGGCGATAATGGAATGAATATATAATTTGTTATTAATGATGACGGGATGATTTCTCGCCGGCAGATCCTTTTTATAATGGGTAATTTAAATTTTTCGATGTTTTAGCATAATCTTATTAGTAAAGATAAATTAAATTCGGTGCAGCTTTGACACTTTACTCATGAGACTCCGAGCACTCAATTATCTTTATTTTTTCTTTCTCTCTTTTATTCTTCTTCATTTTTTTTTGTTCGCTCTCTTCCCAATGCGAAACCGCTCCCCTCTATAAATTCATCCCTTGGCGCGAATTGTGTTCTATTGATTGGACGAAAAACTTTTTTGCAAAAAAAAAGCGTGAAATATTAGTGAAGTAATCCAGTTCAGTACCAAATTTAAATCAATTCAAACAATTAAAAAAAAATATTATTTAGGGGTGAAAAACCTATTACTATGCTTTTTTATAATAACATTTTACATTTTTTTTTCCACAGTCAAAATTGACCATCAAATTTTGTTAATAAAATTTGTTTTTTATTAAAAATATGATATATTTTAACAACCCTTATTCATTTACTTTATTATAACATACACAATATACACATTTTAATTAACATTGATAGCATAGTTTGTACATACATTTATTTATTTCTATTGTGTTCTATTTTTTTTTCTTTAATAATGTCAAATAATATTATGTAATTTATTGATACATTTAGGAAAATTCTAAATTATTTCGCTTCTATTAAAAGACAATTGCAATGCACACTTGATTTTGTATTGGTACAATATGTCCAACTGAGATGTGTATGATGATATATAGATGAAAAAAAGGATGTTTTGTAAGGACAATATATCTTTTGTATGTTTCAGGTCGCTTGGATGCATTTCGAGCAATCAGCAATATTGACAGTGCACAATCATGTTATAACAAGGAATCCCAGAATAAGTGTGACTCACGACAAGCATAGGACCTGGTTCCTGCATATTAGCAACGTACAGGACGAAGATAAAGGGAGATACATGTGCCAAATAAATACTGTCACGGCTAAAACACAGTTCGGATTCCTGCATGTTGTCGGTGAGTGTTTTTCCCTACATGTTCGAAGTCCCACTGAATTTAATTTAATGCTCTTTCCTGATGTGTCTCCTGCGAGACGAGCGCCGCACCCCCAACGACTGGGTCGCCACCGCCCCCTGTATTAATTAGAATTCCATCGAAATATGTATTTGATGAATTAATTGGTGTGGAATGCACACGGCTGGCGGCCGACGAAACACTCCGCCCCTCTGCATGCATCCGTCGGGGGGTGGGCTGGTGTGTTGGGCGCCCGATAGCCGATGCTATCGGGAAAATGTTACATTTAAAGGTCGCCACATTTTCCACGTGCCCCCTGTGAAATGATCCCAGAAACTATAAACTTGCCGGCGGCAAAAAATATAAAGGAGGCGGCCGGAATGGAGTCACGGAATTCACGCGGAGATAAAATGTAGATACGCGTGCGGCTGAATTTCAAGTTTGAACTTAATAAATGGCAAACGGTCCGCCCCCAGGTAACATAGGGGGACGAAGTGTCCCGACGCAAAAAGCTGAAATGTGCGCTGGGACAGCTTAAAGCCCCAAAATTAATATATTTCTATGATAGTGATGCGAAATAAGATTTACAACGTTTAAGAAAAGCGTCGTTAGGGGAGCGATGTCCTCGGGGGTGGCGCGGAGCCTCCGCTACGCTCAACCTCCCCCTTTGACGCCCCCCAGCGCGAATTACAAGTGAAGTTTCGGAACAGTAATTTCTTAATTAACAACTGCGACCTCATAAGTTATTGTTCATCTGTTACTGCTTCGCAAAAAGATCGTCTCCCTTCAGGGACAAAAAATAAAGAAGTGTCCACGCCCCCCGCATTTAATCTAATTAATTGCAATACTTTTGTAAGCACAAAAAATGTATATATAAGGGAACACACGCGGAGGGGAGAACATTATGCCGATTATTCAAATACTAATTAATTTAGATTCCCTCCTCGAGAAGTGAAAACTCTAGTAAAGAAAGATTTATACGTCCCGGAGAACCCTTATATTTTCTTTCCTCACGAAACTCCTTTCACTCTTCTTCCCTGGCGATTTTAACAAATCGCTTTTTCGAGGTTCGTTACGCCAAAGCTGCTTAAATATGCACGAAATAAAAATTTACTTTTAACACAGATACATCAAGATTTTTTTTAAGGCACCCTAGATGTTCATTGCATAATCCGAGCAAATTTTACATAAATTTTATAATATCTAAACCCATCATTTTTCATTTATGTTAATATCATTACAAATAATTATAAACGAAAATTAAATAAATATATATGTAATAATAATATTTTATTATTAATAATATTTATTGTAACATAAATAAAAATGTATAAATCAACAAAAATAAATTTAATTATTCATAATTATTGGAAAGGGATTATTATAAATGTAGTTAAATATTTATAGTAGGTCCTTCACAATAATTGTGAATTTTAATAATACAAAATATATAAAATATACATGTTCAAGTTTATTAAATTTACTACTTTATATTCAATAGCGCCAGACTCCATAATAATAAAAAGTTAGTAACCTTAACAAATATTTATGTCTCATATCACGCATAGTGTAGAAACAAAATTATACAACAAAATGCAATAACTTCATCTATTTAAATTCTCAGATTAATTTACCTTTATATAATTTTATTTTACCATTAAAAATAAATCATTTATTTGTTGTTGTAATCATTTATTTGTTGTTGTAATCATTTATTAAGTTTATTTTAAATTATTTTCATTTTTTTAGTAAAATTAATTGAATTGTTTCCAAAGCTTTAATGGAACTAATGCAAACATATATAGATTTGTTTGTAACAAAATATATGAAAATAAACGAATAAAGTTTAAAATGTTTCGTGTTAAATCGTATAGTTTGATATTGATTAATAGTGCTTTATTATTATAGTGAAAACTTTCCTCTTTATGTAGTTAAAGGAGGTATTAAATGGAAAGCTTGTCAGATATTCAGAGAACGATGTGTGCGGTTTATTTTCTGCGGATAGCTTTTAATGGTTGAAGGAAGTTTAGGTTAAGTTATAGAGGTACGTAATCGTAAACCCAATTAGTTAAGATGTTTGCTCAATGGTTGCCCTGATAAAGATATATCAGTTTACGTACTAATCACAAATATCAATATGAATAGATGAAGGTAATATTTTGATGTTCACCAAACAATCTAAAAAGGTCATCGGTATAATTATCCAGCGATTTCATTGTCGATAAGGTCTTTGAGCGGAACGAGTTTATACTGCACGAATACACAGCATTTCAACGTTATACAAATATGATTGAGCGAAACATCTTGATTCAGAGGACATATAATGCAATCCGGTGGCCATTATTGTGTCCGGGCAGTTCGCCGTCCTCGATCGCCAATGTTCCCAAAGGGAATTGATCATTTGTCCACAATTCAAAGCCTTCACCTACAAGGCCAAAACATTTTTTTAAACCTTCACATCACAACTTAACCGAACAACCAAAAATATTATTAAACTATATCTCGAACTCAAGTATTATTTTCTGTACCCTCTCAACGTTCCTCTTACTTTATTCAATATATATAAACTATTATATTGAACTTAAGGTCGACCATTAAAAAGTTTTAATGAACTACTTGATAATAAGAGGCAAGCATCTATTTATGCAAATATGATTCTTTTTCTCTCTTCTCTCTCTCTTTTTTTTTTGATGCTACTCTTCACGGGACAAGAAGGGCAGACCCTTGCGGAAAATTGATATCACTTGGCCGGCCATGCGGAAGGGAAACGAGATATTGAAAATTGCAATGCAATCTCTTTCATTGATCCTCGAGCAAAAATAATTTATACACCAATAACTGCGGACAGCCGATGCAAACCGAACAAACTCCAACTTCAAGATATTTCTGTTTACACAGCTGAATTCATTATCCCAGAATGCTGTTTTCGTAATTCCACCTGATTTTTTAATATTATAGTTCAAAGACCACATCAAACCATTCGCTTGTAACATTTTTATATGTATTCACCTTAATTTAACATTGTAAACTTTATTCAACGAATACTATTTTATTTTTCTTATTCATTTCAATTTTAACGTTTCAATTATATAAAGTAAATAAAATTCAAATTTAATTAACTTACAATCTTTATTGTCTCATTTTCATCCAAAGAAGTATTGGATTTGGTGGATGCGCCTAGTATATATTTAATAAGTTTTAAATTTTCCACCATTTATTTTGCGGTAAACCAGAATAGAGGTTTAAAAAAATAATGAACAAAAAAAATGTAAATAAGTATAATTATAAACTCACTAAATAAAATGTAAATTAACGTGATTTCAATTCGAATATTTTAATATTGTTATTAGTGTATTGGAAAAGTGTGAATTTCGATAGAGAAAAAACTGAAATTCGTTGCACGCGCTGTCGTATAATTTATTTAAAGCAATCACGTACCGCCGTCAATGTGTCAAAACAATATCGGTGTTGTTCGTTGATTCCTCGAATTGGTCGCAATATGAATTATGTATAGACCACGAGGAGAGCTCTGAAAAAAATAAATGATTTTTATCTTTCCAATCACACGGCGCTCTGAAAGCACTCCACTGTATGTGTCCGTGGAAAATTGTTGCAAAAACAAATGTGAAAAAAAAGAGAGAGAGAGAGAAAATCCGGAGTTTAATTGCATCGACCAAAAATAAACTCGCTTAACTTCAACACAAATATACAATTAAACAATTAAAATGTGAAATACACGTATATGCAATTCTATTTTATTGCGAACGGCGGCGTTGGCGGATTATATTATTTTGTAATTACTTAAAAATACTCCGATGGGGTGCGAATAAAGCAAAAATAAATAAATAGATATAGAGCGATAGAAAATCTGCTGCGAAATGATGATGACGGTGAAATTACGTGAAAAATCGCTAATTTCGTGCTGTTAGATAATATAGTCATGGAATTTATCGATCTGAGAAGAATGCGAATATAGTTCAGGAATCTCTTCAATGTGTGAGATGATGATGATGAAGATGAGAAATTAAAAAAAATGGATTGACACCGTGTCTTAAGTGTAACGCGCGTAGTCTTGAGGTAATTACATTAAATTAAGGTACCGATTTTATTGGAACAATGTTGCTCATTGGAATTTATTGATCGGCTTTGGAATTTCCGTTCATGAGAAACTATAAAGCCGTTTGTTAGTATCTTCACTTTTGGGTATCTTAATTATAGATGGACACGATTTTTTTTATTAATTTATATAATATTTTGGTTAAATTATGTCTTTAAACACTTGTTATACTTGATATATAAAGTACCTTGCCCCAATTTAAGACTAGCTTCAACAGAATTCGCTTAACTATATATTTTTTTTAATAAAACACATTTTATTTTCAAATTACTTTATTATTATTTTAGTTTATTTAAGTATTTAATTGTGATTATCTTATATTGGATTACTACAATTATAATTCGATTATCCTTTTATAAATTCAAATAAGATTTTTTTTAAAACTACTAGATGTTGAAATAAAATTTTGTTTTGTTGGTTTAATATTGGATATTGATTATCCTTTTATAAATAGTTAGTTGGTTGAAGCAAGGAAGGAAGGGGTTTGGGGGGATTTCAGTGAAACTAATAGAAATCTTGAATGGTAATGATTTAGAGGTGGGGCTTCGCGCAAACTAACGCTGCGCTATTTCCAGTGTAAGGTGAAGCCGTCGTTAAAGCCATTACCTGGTCAATTACATTGAATCGAATCGCGGTTTTGGAACTCGGGGTTATAATTGAAATCTGTGGGATGGCTGAAATTCCCTTAAATCTAGTAATTGTCAGCTTTTGTCCCAGAATGTGCGAACTGATAATGCGCACCGCCTCTACAAACCCAAACCCCATGAATCCGCCGCCGCCTCCACTGCCGCCTCTCACACCCATTGTCAATGTTTCCCCTTTGCTTTTACCAAGTTCATTTCGATAAACTTCCATGCATTTTAAAACGATCAACACTCGCAGCGCC